AGGCATCCAAACCCACCTGGGAGTGCGGTTTTGCTCATGGGGACTAAACACAGACTGCGGGGAATGTGAGAGCTCGGCCGCCTCCCCCACAGGGGAACAGAGACCTGATCTGGGAGTCAACGAGGCGTGCTTTGCAGCTGCCTTTGTTGCCCAATAGCTGGTGACTTTGAGCTGTTTTCTTATCTGTAAGTTGGAGCTACACCTGCCCTGGAGGACACCTGGCATGGAGGTGACCAGCCGCAGGTGTTTGTCAGTGTCGGTTCCCACCCTCTTGGACTCCGTCTCCAACCTTGTCACCTGGCCTCCCAGTGTCGGCCCTAAGCTACTAGAGAAGCAGGTGTGGCTGCAACTCTGGCTCATGTTCCTCCCAAAGGAAGAAAATTTCCTGAGAAGCAGAGAAGAGGTGGGCAGTCCCCTCCTGGGAGCTGAGAGGGTGACAACAGAAGCTGAGCACCGCGCAGTCCAGGGCGCTGGAGTCAAACACAGTTGCTCGGGAATTTGCTCAGCAGCTTCAAAGTCAAAAGTACTCTGCATTTTTATGGAGCTTCTCTTAGCTCTCTCAGGAATGCTCTCTGCTAATGCATCCCCGAGTGTCCTGAATGAAGAAGGGAGAGAGGAGGGGCAGGGAGGGAACTCTGGAGGGGCCTCGGGGTAGGTTCCGGCTGCCGGCTGGATGAGTTTTAAAACCACCTGCTGGTCCTTGCACACACTTTTTTCTTTTTAAAACAAGGCTGTTAGTCCCTTATAAAAGGCAGGCACTGAGAGCAATGGAGAGGTGCCACGGAGCACAGTGATCATGAAAATAAAATAATTAGCTTGGCTGGTGTGGCGCAGTGGTTGAGCATTGATCTATGAATCAGGAGGTCACAGTTCGATTCCCAGTTGGAGAACATGTCTGGGTTTCGGGCTCGGTCCCCAGTGTGGGGCATGCAGGAGGCAGGCAATCAATGATTCTCTCTCATCATTAATGTTTCTCTCTCTCCCTCCCTCTCCCTTCCTCTCTGAAATAAACAAAAGTATATTTTTCAAAAGGTAATTAGAATTCTGAACCAATGCGTTTGCTCCTGGTTGCTCCCTTTCAAAGGTCCCAGGTAGGACTTGCACTCAGCCATATACCAGGGTTGCTGTGTGTTTTTTCTTTAGAGCAAAACTTATTAGGCAGTAGGAAAAAGTAAAGGATTGTTATCAATCATCACTCCCATTCGTGTCTTCGCAGAAGACCACACCACACCTCTGGGTGTCTGAGGTTGGGTGCTCTCTGGAGCGACCCTGAGACAAGGACTCAAGTACAAGTGATGGATGAAGGAGGAGCTCCCAGGAACCAGGGAAAGAAGCCAGGAGAGTTGAGATTTCAGGTGAAGCCCAGACTCAGACTGAGCTGGGGCCTCAGGAACATAAGATGATAATGCGCACACGACCCAGCACTTTGCCCAAAGGAACAGAAAGCAGGGACTCAGGGATCTGCACGCCCAAGTTCACAGCAGCAGCACTCGCAGCAGCCAAGAGCTGGAAGCCACCCAGTGTCCACCGACAGGTGACAGGTGACTGGATAAACAAACGCGACACAGTATTACTCAGCCATAAAAGGAAGGGACTCGGACACCTGCTACAAAATGATGAACCTTGAGGACATCACGCTCCGTAAAGTCAGCCGGTCACAAAAGCAAATGCTGTCTGGCCTCACTTCCGTGAGGTCCCTACAGAGGCAAATTCAAAAGCGAAAAGCACAAGAGAGCTCGCCAGGAGCTGGGGAAGGGGAGGGGAGGCTTGCCTCTAATGAGGACAGTTTCTGCTGAGGGTAATGGAAAAGTTCTGGAAATGATGGTGGTGGCTGCACCATAATATGAGTGCACTTAATGCACCTGAACGGCACACTTAAAATGGTTAGGATGTTCGGCTTTGTTATATGTATTGCCATGATTTTTTAAAACATTAAAACATAGTCAGAAAAAAGAAAAGAAAGAAAGAAAAAACAGTTGGAAGAGATACCCACAGAGTTTGGGCCACCTCCAGGCAAAGGAGCTGGGCGTTGTCCCCTCACCACTCACTCCCGGCCGGGGCAGGTCACAGGTCCCTGCAAAGCGTGTGGCGTGGGGCACGCACAGTGTCCACCAGGGCCGGGCCAGCACGCGCCATGGCAGACGCTCCTCCTGGCTGGAAGTGCTTCTGCGCCCGGGAGCTTGCTCCGACTCCTGACACCTCGCCCTCCAATGCCCACAGTTTCTGAGGACACTGGTTTGGGGAGGGGTCTGCACTTCCAATCATCGTCCTCAGTGAAAACGTGACAAGTACCTGAGAATGAGTGTGAAGAGACTCACCAGCACGGAGGACTGTCCCGTGTGGCTGGGACAGAAATCGGGCAGAGACAGACAGATGCCCCACTAGAGAGGAGACCCAAGCGTCCGGAAAGCGGATGGAAGGGGCTCAGCTCCCTTCGTCTTTAGGGAACACAGAGCAGAGCCCAGTGAGAGGCACACTCCAGGGATGCAAATGGGAAAGAGAACAGCACACGGTGGGCAGCCCCCGCAGGCTCCGGCCTGGACTTCCACTGCGCGGCCTCCACGGGAGTTCAACACAGGCACACCCGTGACCCAGGCCAACAGCAAGTTCCCCACGGAAACGCACCCATGTGCTCACATGCACGAGACGCTTCATGGCGGCACTACCTGTAAGGCTGGAAAACAGCAGCCACCTACGCAGAGCGAAGCACTGGGCAGCGGACGGGCCTCACAAACACAGGCTGATTAGGTGCCGACACGCGTGCACATACTTACACGAGGGTTAGTCGGACAGAAGTAACCAGTCTTCAGAAGTCGGGTGGCGGTTGCATTCGGGGAGGGGGTGAGTGGCAGGGCGTTTGGGATGCTGACCATGTTTTGAACAGGGTGAACTGGCGAGCGATACACTGATGGTGCGTGTGACGCGTGGTGTGCGTATGCACTGCCTCTCAGCCACACAGCACCTGCCTGCCCTCCCCCCTACATGCTATCTCAGAAAGGGTCACAGGTTACAGGGAAGCCCAGGGTCCCTGGGGAACCTGGAGCATTCTAGAAGGAACCGCTCTGTGTTCATAGCGACTCAAGAGCAACTGCTTTCCATGCCCAGGTCTTACCAGGGGTCAACCAGACGACGGGGCCTTTGACCCGACCCCTTCACGCTTTTACTCATGCGTCCAACACCACCAGACACCCAATTCCTGTCTGCAGAACTCCGCACTCAGCTCTCTTCCTTCCTTCCGCTCTGAGCAGACCTCAGCTTAGGTGATAGAAGAGCGTTTAAGGATCTAGAAAGATGGCCACAAAATAGGGTGGAAAAATCAAGTGACAGATAGTAGGTGCAGTATCATCTCATCTTTTTAAAATATATTTTTTATTGACTTCAGAGAGGAAGGAAAAGGACAGATAGAAGCATCAATGATGAGAGAGAATCATCGATCAGCTGCCTCCCGCACACCCCTACTGGGGACTGAGCCAGCAACCCAGGCAGGTGCCCTGACCGGGAATCCAACCATGACCTCCTGGTTCATAGGTTGACGCTCAACCACTGAGCCACACTGGCTATGCAGTATCATCTTGTTTTTTATAAAATATATAATTTGTACTTATAGGAAAAGGGTCTGGAAGGATCACATTGAGCACAGAAAACTCATAGCAGGGATTTTTACTTCCTAAAATCCCTATAAAGGATGCATTTTATTTTCTAATACTGAGTCGAGTGCCCAGGGCCCCAGCCTCAAGGACAGGTCAGGAGGGGAGGGACAAGCACATCAGGTCACAGGAAGGGACAAGAGCCTGAACAGGGAGTGCACTGCACTCGGGAGACCAGAGAGGCATCTGTGTGCTTGGGGTCACTGGCCTGCATGTGCCCAGCTCTCAGCCAGTGTCCACTGAATGGACACCCAGAGGAAGGGTGCCTGGGCAGTGAGGCTGGCCCGCCTGCTGTGTACAGAGTCCCGGCTGTGGGGTGAACGTACTTTGTGGTGAGGGTGCAAGGCCTTCGATTCTGGGACCGCGCTGTTTGCATTTGTTCAGCCTTTGCCTGTTGGGGTGGTTCCAGAAGAGTCGCTTGGGCCCTGGGGCCTCAGCCTCCTGCCTGTGGCAGTGGGGACTGTTGTACCAGCTTACAGGGAGCTCACAAAAACACTGCACACTGAAAGCCCACGATACTATACGGAATCATGTATCAAGACGTGCATAGAGCCTACAATGTGCCCAGTTCTGTGTTAAGCAGTTTACAAATATTAAATCACTCTTTAAAAGTTGTTATTTATTGATTTTAGAGAGAGAGGAAGAGAGGGGAAGTGAGGGAGAGGAACATCAATTTGTTGTTCCACTTATCTATGCATTCATTGGTTGACTCTTGTACATGCCCTGACCAGGTATCGAACCCACAACCTTGGCATCCTGGGACGACACTCTAACCAACTCAGCTACCGGCCAGGGCTTAAATCACTCTTCATACCCTAAGATATTTGCCTTTATTACCCTGATTTTACAAGATGGGGAAACTGAGGCATGCAGTTCAGTGTCTTGCCCACGTGTTCATTTCTAGCCAGAAGCCCCTGCCCCTGTCTCGCCAAGCGGTGAGAAGCATGAGGGGGCAGCCTGTCCCTGCCCTGTACATGAGCTCTGTCCCTGGGCAGCTCCATCCACACTGAGGCTGGCTCTCCCAGGCTGTGCCCAGCATGCTTCTCTTCTGCCATCTGGTGGTAACTGAGGAACATGACATCTCCCTCCAGGCTCCCCTCCCACCCAGGGCCTGTGGGGGGCTGGGGGCTGGGGGGTTATTGTGAAAGCAAACAGAAACCACCTCACTTGTTCTGATTACTCAGGCAGTGTGCCAAGTACACTGGCGTTTTAACAACGGGCCACTGACAGTCATTCAAAACCCTTCATTGAACATGTACGGGGGGGGGGGGGGCATTTCCACCCCCGCCCCCGCCAAAGCCTTACCCAGCTTCCACCCTGGAGCCAGACGCTGCCCTGGGCTGACTGCCAGGCCCCAAGCCCACGGAAGAGGACACAGCATGTGCCTGTGCTCCAGAACCTCAGAGTGCAGACACGGATGGCCATAGAGCAGCCGGCACAATGACAAGACCCGGAGTGGGCAAGTGTGGGAGAGTGACAAGAGCCAAGCCCCAGAAGAGGGCAGGGGAGGGAAGGGCAGCCACTGGCGGAGCAGGGGCACCCCGCCCAGACGCAGGCAGAAAGGGAGTTGCACGGGTGAGCACCTTGGTGGTGGAAAGATGCTGTCTCCGCGGAGGCCAGGTAACCATCTCAGGTGTGTGGGTTGTGGGAAGGGCACAGCATGGACCAGGGGACACGTGGCTGTGTTCTTTTATTCAAGAAAGCCCCGCGTTCACTCAGCCTCTTCAATCTGTGGGTTTTCTTTCAACAAATGTGGGGTTTTCAGCCATCAATTCTTCCAATTTGCTTTACTGTGCTTTGCAGATGTTGCATTTTTTACAAACTGAAGGTAAGACTCTCCACCAGCAAAAAGATTGTAACTCGCTGAAGGCTCAGATGATGTCAGCATGTTTAGCGCTGAAGTATTTTTAATTAAGGTATGCATGCTTTTTAGACATATGCTGTTACACACTTGGACTGCAGCACAGTGCACACATACTTCCCATGCACTAGGACACCAGGAAGGTTGCATGGCTCGCTGCATTGCCATGTGCACGTGACTGGGTGGTCTGGGCTGGTCCTGCAGCATCTCCGAGGCGTGGCTGTCCTTCTCTCCTCTGGGACCTTGTTCCACAGGTTCATGGGGCTCTTTTCCCCCATCTCTTTTCTTTTCATTGAATAGATTTGATTATTCTATTGATCTAATTTCAAGATCACTGACTCTTTTTTTGGTTGTCTTTTAGTGAGCCTCTTTGGTAAGTTTTTAATGTCAAATATTGTATTTTTCCTATTCGGTGTCCACTTTTTCTTTTTATACCTTCTACTCTTTTGCTGAGAATTCCTATTTTTTCATTATTTAAAGGGTGTTCAACTTCTAGTTGATGCATTTTTATGGCGGCTGTTTAGAATTCTTGTCAGATAATTCCAATATCTATGTCATTCTGAGGCTGGTGTCTTTAACCATCTTTTCTCATTCGAGTTGAGATTTTCCTGGTTCTTGGTGTGGAGAGTAATTCTGTAATGTCATGTATCTTGGACAGTTGAGTATTATGTATGACTCTGAATTCCACTTAATTACTGTTTCAGTCGGCAGCCAACCCATTTAGATTCAGAGACTTTGCACTACTGATGTGGTCTACCCTGCTGTGTGCTGCACGCTGGCCAACCTAAAACCTGGGCAGCATTCCACACCACAGGTGGGTTCTCAGACTCCGGCCACGCTGATCCTGGTTGGCTGCAGCACAGGCTGCTCAGGAGTGTGTGCAGGACGTCAGGCGGGTCTTAAAGGTCCCTTTCTCCAGCTCCCTCCTCTCGGCAATCCTCCCTCAGCGCTCTGGGGTGGAAGTGGGATCCTGCCCCTTTACCATCCTCTACTGCAGGGCGGGCATCTCCTACCTCAACATGGGAAGTGTCCAGGGGGAGGGAGCAATTTCTTCCCTCTGGAGCAGGGCAGGCAGACTTGGAAGGCTCCACCCAGCGGGATCACCTGTCGCAGATCCTTTGGCTGGAGAGACGTGTTGTGAGTGGGTTTTCTCACTTCCTACTCTCTCTCTCTCTCTCTCTCTCTCTCTCTCTCTCTCTCGTTTGGTCTGCAGCTGCATACTGCTCTAGCTCCCAGGTAAGGACACGTAGGTGTGGGGAAAACAAACTGCACTGCTGAGTCGTGCTGAGTCATGAGGTCCTTAGCCAGTGAGCTTGGTTTTCCACCTTCCAGAGTTTCCTGACAGCTGCCTGGTACTCAGTTGTAATTAGCAGGAGGAAGAGGGTGGAATAGACTTGGTCCATCTTTTCCAGAATCACCTATGATACTTTTTAAAGACCTTAAGGTGGACCATTCTAGAAACGACAGAGTATACAGTCAGCAGACGTCAAAAGGGAAGAGGCAGGTCTATTCAAAAGATGCTGAAGGTTAGTTACTCAGGGTGCAGGTTGCAGCCTTCGTCCCAGGAAATGCTCGCTCACTGTCCCTCAGGGCCCCCCACTCTCCAAAGCTGCCCCTACAGCTGCGTGAGGGTGGGACTCTCACCTCAGGTCCCTCCCAGGAAGGCAGTGTGCACTGGAGACGGTCTGGGCTTTCGAAGCAGGTGGCTTTGGTGGTAATTCTGCCTCTGCAGCTTATTACTGGGTGGCTCTGGGCTGTGCCTCTATCTCTGAGACTGCGTTCCCATTGAATAACAGGGACAGCAATACAGACTCCAGCGTTTTGTGCAGCCTCCACACGAGCACCTGGTCCACACCACCTGGATTACGACAGCCTCCCCACTTCCACTCCTGATCCTGATCCTCTTCATCGTTTTCTCCACGCAATGAAAATTTCAAAATGAAAACCACAGCATTTCACTCCTCCAACCAATTGCTTCCCCAAATCCTTACAATGGACCTGTAGGCCCTCCCTGGTCTGGCCCTGGCTATCCCGTCAACCTCATCTCCCGCTAACCTCACTCCAGCCACTCTGCTGTTCCTCAAACAGCAAGCATGCTCCTGGCCCAGGACCTCTGCTGTGCTGCTGCACAGAAGGACCTTTCGGGGGGGGGGGGGGTGTGATTGCATCATGTGGTGCTGAGGGAAAAGGCACACGCTGCCTGGGTCTGAGCCCTGAGTCTGCCACGTGTTAGGTATGTGACCTTTAGCAAATCGCTTTTTCTATGCTTTGGTTTCAACATATATAAAATCATCGTAAGAATCGTATCTAGCAGCCCTGGCAGGGTAGCTCAGTTGGTTAGAGCAGTGGTCGGCAAACTGCAGCTCGCGAGCCACATGCGGCTCCTTGGCCCCTTGAGTGTGGCTCTTCCATAAAATACTGACTTCTGCGCATGGGCCATGAAGTTTCAATCGCGCTGTACGTGCGTGCCTGCACGTGGTATTTTGTGGAAGAGCCACATTCAAGGGGCCAAAGAGCCACATGTGGCTCGCAAGCCGCAGTTTGCCGACCACTGGGTTAGAGCATTGTCCTGATACACCAAGTTTTGAGTTCTATCCTGATCGGGGCACATACAAGAGTCAACCAATGAACGCATAAATACCTGTAAGTGGACAACAAATCGATGTTTCTTTTTCTCTCCCTTCTTCTCGCTCTCTAAAAATCAATAAAAAAAATAGTATCTAACTACATAATGTTGTCATTAAAACTCAGATTATATGTGTGAATTCCTTAGAAAGGTGCTTGGCACATAATTAGCACTGAGTGTGATAGAAATATAATTTTCATATTACATTTCTAAGTATAAATATTATAAAATTGTGTAGTTTACTCCCCTATTCCTTCAGGCTGTGCTCAATGTCAGCAAGCCCTCCCCTAGCTTGTCTACCTCCACTTGCTTCTTTCGGCATCAGCACTCCTGACATTAGGCACCTGCCTGCTCGCTGCCTGACTGCCTGCAGGAAAGCTCCTCGGGACAGAGCCATTGCCTGTTCCGCTCACTTCTGACCTCAGCCTCTGGAGCAGGCCGCCCAAGGAAGGTGCTGTTACATATGGTCACACTGCTGGGGGAATGAATGGATACAAATACTTTTCTAAGAGCAGCTGTGAGAAGGCATGAGATAGTCAATGTTAAATGCTAACACAGTACCTGGCATACATAAGGTACAGTGGGGCCTTGACTTACAAGTTTAATTCGTTACGTGACCGAACTCATAACTCAAATTACTCGTATGTCAAATCATAAAGTGAACGAGTGAGACACGTGATGCTGGGCTGATGTGGTGGCGTTCACTGTGACGTTCGCTGCGCCAACTAGCGGTGGGGTATTTGAAGCTGGCTCGTAACCCAAATTTTAGCTCGCAACTCAAAGCAAAAAATCGGCCGAGAGACGGCTCATATCTCGAAAAACTCGTTAGTCGGGACACTCGTAAGTCAAGGCCCCGCTGTACTGTTAGATCTTTTCCAACCAACGTTAGCTAGTTCTTCCTTCGTATCGTACTTCTGAAGGCTACGAGGAGAAAGCTGAGCCATATGATGCTGATCGGGCCCTAAAGGGAGAAGGTGGGGGGCCCTTCAGCAACCCACATTTTAGTAGGAGCCTTTGGAGGCAAAAGGATCAGGCATGAACACACCTAAGCTTGAAGAAGGAATTATGCCGGGAGTGTTCAGGGTACGTTGGGGGTAGGGGGGACACTGAGGCAGAACCACTGAGAAGGTGCTGGAGGGGGGCCTGCATGACCCAGGCCAAGTCATGCTCTGATGGAAAGCTTCATAGGCTACCTTCCCCCACAGCCCCATGGCTGAGACCTCAGAGGACTAGGAACTGTCCCCTCCTCACTTCACTGCACAGAAACGCAGACTCAGAGCGGCGAAACCACTGCAGACAAGAGAGAGACGGGACCCAGAGCTCAAACCTTCCTACATATTCCAGTTTTCCGCCTCTGCTACGTGACCGACTCAGGGTATAAACTGCTCAGAAGCAAGATATCGTCACGCTCAAACACAAGCTCATGTGTTGGCAGGCATGTGTAACCGCTCCTCACATTCATTCTGTAACCTGTCTTGTCTCACTCTTTTCAAACAGGCACTTTCAAGATACAGCAATGGGACATGGGCAGACAGGACTTCCTGGAATCTGCTCCTGGTCTGGGGCTCTTTGTGACGGTTACAACTTACAGCGAGGAGGTAAAACATTCTTTACATTTTCTTACTGAAATGTTTCCGTCGCTACAGTTCACAAGGCATGTACCCCGACAAACGTTTGAAATCTCGGGTAAGCACTCACTAAGCAGCACTTACACTTTTCACACTCCGTCAGGCACCGCAGACATAGAAGGTGCCTGCTCTCGTGAGCCTCGTCTAGGCGACGCCCGGGCAGAGAGAGTTTAGAAACAATACAAACTGAGTTTTGCTGGGCTTGCTGGGCAGAGGGCACCCACAGGGTCAAGGCGTCCCAATGCTTCTGTAGAGGCCAGGCTTCGTCTGCTATGCCTGGCCACACACCACACCCTCCCCCGAGAGGCCAGACAGGACACCTCCCCCTTGGGTCCTGGCAGGGCTCTCTGGGTCTGCCTGGTCTCCCTGGGAGTTAGCGAAGGAGCAAGACAGGCATCCTGATCAAGGGGACAGAACATGGGTTTTGGAATCAGAGCCAAGTTACAGTGTAGATTGCCTCTAAGCTGAATCTTGATCAGGATACTTGCCTGCTTTGATCCTCCACTTTCCCGTCTGCACAATGGATATAACGGGTGTCCACTCCTGACCGTGCAGCTCAAGGTGCTCTGACCCGCTCAGCCAGTAACGCAAACACAGCTGCGGGCACTACTTCCGTCTGGACTGGAGCCGTCCTGCGCGGTGCTCATGGGTGCAGGGTGGCGGTGCAGCACCGCCTTGTAGAACGGGCACCTACTCTCTGCGGAGAGGGACTTGGTGTAGGCAGGACCACGTTCCTATTCTCCTGAAAACTAGGTGACACCTGGGCCTGAGCTGAGGGCAGACATAGGACACCCCTCTCATGGGGAGGCTGGAGCTGGGTCACTGGAGACTCCATTCCAACTGGACACTGGACACTTGGTATTTGCCTGTGGTAGCGTTCTTCTCCTGGTGCACTTGGCACCTCCCTCATAACAGTTCCACTGGGACCCTTCCCACCTCCAGTCACCTGTCCTCCCTGCACCCCACCCCCCCGTGTCCCTTGTCCAGGGATACCAGCGTCCAGGTCTCTTGCTCTTTCCCAGTAGTACTTCAGGAGCAATCTGGAACTGTCTCCAAGGTTTATTAAAACCAGAACCCAAGCCCTAGTTGGGCTAAAAACTGTCACAGAAAAATCTGTTTACTGTTATTAAGACAGAGAAGGTCTGTTCTTCAAAAGCACAATTGCCTAAGAGAAGAGATATGTTTCTGTTCATTCTGCAAACATCCAACAAATTTTATCATGGGCTAATATATGCTCAGCCCTCTTCTTGGCCTAGGAGAGACAAAACTCTCACCTTCAGGCCTTATTTTCAGGAAAGCCCTTCCGTTTGGAATATGATAAGAAATGGCATGCCCTACCAGTTTGGCTCAGTGGATAGAACATCGTCGGCCTGCAGACTGAAAGGTCCCAGGTTTGATTCCGATCGAGGGCACATGCCCGGGTTGTGGGCTTGATCCCCAGTGAGGGGCGTGCAGGAGGCAGCCAATCAATGATTCTCTCTCTTCATTGATGTTTCTATCTCTCTTTCCCTCTCCCTTCCTCTCTGAAATCAATAAAAATATATTTCGTACAAGGTCAGATCCCCATTTACTAGTAAGATACCTATCAGCACCCCCACAAGGACACTGGGGGCTTGGGGTCCTCTTAAGTTGGCCCCAATCATGCGTCCATTCCTATGCATGTGACTGATGGCCCAACAGAACAGCATGCACACGCAGGGCAGACCACATCAACGATGCACATGTACCACACAAACATGTCTTCTGTGCTCCATTTCCCACTGCTCCATGTCCAATATTCCTATTCCATTTTGTAGAAGAAAACCTGTTGTTCTGAGAGGCTACATGACAGACAAGAGATCACCATCAGCAAGTGGCAACAATGATATTTAAACTCGTATGTGTGTTTTTTCCAATACACCAATCAGCAGGCATTCAGAGGGTGTGCTGACTTGACTATCCACGGGGAGTATACAATGCAGAGCCTGGACATGAAACTAAAGATCAGACACTGACTGTGATAACCAGTAGTCACAATGCTTTTTCAGAGCAGAGTTCTCTGTTATTCACTTAAAATCAGAAATCAATTGTAAAATCAGACCTTTGAATGTAGTCTTATTTAATAAAATTTCCCAATCAAGCCTGGCTGGTGTGGCGTAATGGACTGAGCGCTGTCCCATGCAAAGGTCACCAGTTTGATTCCCAGTCAGGGCACATTCTAGGATTGGGGGCTTGATCCCCAGTCGGGGTGTGCAGGAGGCAGCTGCTCTCATCGATGTTGTTTTTTTTAAAATATTTTAAAAATATTTTTTATTGCCCTAACTGGTTTGGCTCCGTGGATAGAGCGTTGGCCTGTGGACTGAAAGGTCCCAGGTTCAATTCCGGTCAAGGGCATGTACCTTGGTTGCGGGCACATCCCCAGTAGGAGGTGTGCAGGAGGCAGCTGATCGATGTTTCTAACTCTCTATCCCTCTCCCTTCCTCTCTGTAAAATATCAATAAAATATATTTTTTAAAAAAATATTTTATTGATTTCAGAGAGGGAGGGAGAGGGAGAAAGAGACAGAAACATCAATGATGAGAGAGAATCATTGATCGGCTGCCTCTTGCATGCCCCACACTGGGGATTGAGCCCACAACCCATGCATGTGCCCTGACTGGGAATCGAACCCTGGCCTCCTGGTTCATATGTCAATGTTCAACCGCTGAGCCACACCAACCAGGCTTCATATATTTTTATTGATTTCAGAAAGAGAGATGGAGAGACAGAAACATCAATGATGAGAGAGAATCATCAGTTACACTTTTTTATAAACATTTTTTAGTTGTTGCCCTAGTGTTTGCAATATATATATATGCAACTAATCCGAGTCCACTTTCAAGTAACGTCCTACCACTTCACAAGTACAGCACGTGCCTTATAATTACTAGGTATCCCCAAGTCTTCCTTCCCTTGCATCACTGCGTCATTCACGTCACTGATACATAAACTATAATCATTACTGCTGTTATTCTGAACAGACTGTTATGTATTAGATCAGTAAAGAAAAATTAAAGTTTAAAGTTTACTTTCACTTATTCCTCCTCTAATGCTCTTCTGTTCTTTATGTAGATTCAAGTTTCTGAACTATATTGTTTTCTTTTTCTCCAAAGAACTTCTTTAACATCTCTTGCCTGGCAGGTCTATCAGTAACAAATCCCCTCAATTTTTGTTTGTTTGAGGAAATCTTTATTTCTCCTTCACTTTTGAAGGAGAATTTTGCAGGATACAGAATTCCATATTGGCACGGGTTTTTTTCTCTCTCTCAACACTGTTCCACTCCCCTCTCTACTTACTTGATGGTTGCCGAGGGGTTTTTCCCCTCTGGTTTCTTTCATGATTGTATCTTTAATATCTGCAGTTTTAACATAATATGCTTGGGCATTTATCCTGCTTGGTGTTCTCTGAGCTTCCTGGCTCTGTGGCTTGGAATATGACATGAATTTGGAGGAAGTTCTCAGTCATTGATGCTTTAAATATGTCTTCTGTTCCTCTCTTTCTTCTCCCTCAGGTGTTCCCATTATGTGTGTGTTACACCTTCTGCAGTTGTCCCATGGTTCTTGGATATTCTGTCCCTCTTTTTTCTCTTTGCTTTTTAGTTTTGGAAGTTCCTGTTGACCTACCCTCAAGCTCAGAGACTCTTTCCTCAGCTGTGTCAGGTCTACTAAGGAGTCCATCAGAGGCATTCTTCACTTCTGCTGCAGCATTTTTAACTCTACAGTTTCCTTCTGATTTCTTCTTCGGATTTCCACCTCTCTGCTTGCATTGCCATCTGTTCTAGCATAGTGTCTACTTGTTTCATTAGAGCCCTTAGCATATTAGTCATAGTTTTTCTGAATTCCTGTTCTGATAATTCCAATATCCCAGCATGTCTGAATCTGATTCTGATGCTGGCTCTGTCTCTTCAAACTGTGTCTTCTTGCCTTTTAATGTGCCTTGTAATTGTTGTAAGCTGCACATGATGTAATGGGTAAAAGGAACCCAGTACTGGTTCCCACAGAGGTTCTTCTCTGGTAAATTGTATTCTTTGTATTTGCTTGTTCTTCTCTCCAGTTTTGGAGGCAGCAGTTTGCCCTGTGACCTCAATTCTCTGACAGATCTAAGAAGTGATTTCTTTTTGTTCACATTTTTACTTGTTGTTAGGACAAAATGACAACTTCTAAGCTCCTTATATGCCAGACTAGAAGTTCTATATTTGTTTTAAAATCCCAAACAATATATAAATAAGCAGAAAAATCAAAGTTCCCCAACAAATATAACCATGTAACAATCTGGTGTGTGTTCTTTACAATTCTCTTATAAGCACACAGAAACATATATGTGTATGTGTTCTTTTACAAATGATGCTTCTTTTACAAAAAGAGGATCCTACACAGACTGCTCTACCAGAGGATATGATGGACACCTTCTATACAGATATGGATATCCTATATAATAAAAGGCTAATATGCAAATTGTCCCCTAGGGGGTTCTACTGACTGAGAGTTCAACCACTTGCTATGATGTGTGCTGACCACCAGGGGGCAGTGCAGAACGAAGGAAGGCCCCAATCGGCCCTGATTGCCAGCCAGGCCTAGGGATCCTACCCATGCACAAATTTCGTGCACTGCGCCTCTAGTAATATATAATATTCTCTTTTAATGCTACATGTTTCTTTATTTGGCTTTGCCTGAATTTAATCAACCCCCTTCACTGAAAGGTGTTAAAATTATTTCAAAATTGCAATTTTGGCCTGGCCAGATGGCTCAGTTGGTTGAGCATCATCATCACCACACACACACACACACACACACACACACACACAAAAGGTGGCAGATCTGATTCCCAGTCAGGGCACATACGTGGGTTATAGGTTCGATTCCCATTGGGGCACATACAGAGGGCAACTGATCAATATTTCTCTCCCACATCAATGTTTCTTTCTCTCTCCCCTCCCTCTCTCTCTAAAACTAATGAATATATGCTCAGATGAAGATTTTTAAAAATTTAATGTAATTTTGCTACTATGACTAACATCACACTGAATATCCTTTTACATATAACTTTATCTACATGTGCATTTCTATAGGGTAAATTTTCATAGGTAGAACTGCTGGGTCATTGGTTACACACATTTTAATAATCAATATATAGTGCCAAAGTGCTCTCCAGTATGGTTGTTCAATTCCCAAAACAGTGTTTGGAGATAGTATTTCTCAATACGTCCTTGGGCACTTTTAAATTGTTGCCAACCTGGTAACAAACAAGGATATCCTACTGTGGTTTGTATTTTTATTATTAGGAAGTCTGAATATTTTTCATGTTTGTTGGCCATTGGATTTCTTCTTTAGGAACTGCACACTTTTTACTAGATACAGAGGAGATTTATTTGTAAGAATGGCACCTAGAGAATAATAAGCTTACACTGTGGAAATCCTCCATCCTAGGTACTACTGTCAAAGTTATATGGCCCACAAGGAACATTCTATTTCACTTCACATTCACCTGGCGAACACATCATTTGCTTAGAATCTAATTCCACGCAGCTTGTGTCGTTTGGAGGGAGTAGGCTGGTAAGTACCCGCCCCCACGTCGCTGCTGATGAACACAGTGTCAGCACTATTCAGGCATGACATCAGTATGCAGAACCATGACACCCGGGCCGGCTAGAGACTTATTAAAGTCCTGCACCCAGATCTCAGCGCTGCCACCACAGAGGGAGCTGGAAAGCTTGGAAGGGGTTCAAAGGAGCGCCACGAAGTTGATTAAAGGGCTTGAGTAAGAACTGTGAGGGGAGGTTAAAAGCACTGTGATTATTCAGGCTTGAAAACAAGTGAGGGCTGAGGGTGAATTAATAATGGAATTCCAATAAATAAAACTCTTCACGGTAGATGGTGATTGGCTATTTCCTAAATGTGCTGAGAACTAACGAGGAGAATGTGTACTTTAGCATCAGAAACTCAGTTGTGTGTAAAGAAACTTTGCTGGGAGTAATCAGATTCTCAACACCCAACGCATTTGCCTGATAGTAAATGTGAGGTCCCGGAGGGTGTAAGTGCCTCAGTCAGTAGATGAGCAGTCCGTGCATTATTATTACAGAGGACTGCTGAGTAAAACGGGGGACAGAGTGGCAGTGAGAGGAAGGGAAGATGGAGAACGCGGGGCTGCCTGCTCTTAAAAGGGGGGAAAGGAAGGAGAGAGGAACTGAGGATGCGCAGAGGGAGAGAAGGAGAAAGGGGAGCTCTTTTAAAATGCACTTCTTCCTTCTCACTGTTGGCACAGCGGGTCCACTTAGACATCCGCGTTGGAGAACATGACCTCGATGCTGCCATTGCTCAAGCCAAGGACAAAGTTAATGAAGTTAGCTTCAAGCTTGAACATCTAATTGAGCAAATTGAGCAAATAGTCAAAGAACAAAACTATCAAAGGGTCAGTTTGCCTGTTCAGCTCATTTTATCTCTTCCTGCCAGGAGCGTAATTCCGCAGACGAAGTCCCTGAGCCAAGGAAGAGTAAACTCTGCCCCTTGGCCTTTCTCCCTGAGCCACACTGCGCGGACACACGGGGTGTGGGGGAAGGGCCATTCTGTCCCCTGGACAGCAGGTTCCTCTAGGACTGGAGGCTGCAGCCATTCACCTTAGGGGTATGAGTTTACAGAATGAATACGTAAGTGCTTCCAAAGACAGCCCACGGGTCCGAAGAGGCTAAGTATGCCCACTTCTTCAGTCACACCTGTGCTCCTGTGACAACACGGGTTTTCTGGGTCACTGTGCTCATGGACCGTGGTCAGACGAGGGCTCACATATGCTCCACCAGTCACTAGCCTGGTGTCATCTCTAGGCCTCAGTTTCCTCATCTGGAAAATAAGATGAGGTCGGGTGTGCTGACACAGAGTCCAGCTTAAAGTAAGAATTCAAACCATGAAAACCCACAACTATTGGGTAATGTTCACTCTGCTTAACAGTGACAAATAAAGTAATAGATCAAATACCTGATATTTTACACCAAAATACAAAAATGTCTTACAAGGTTGATTCTTAATCCTTGTCTTTGCTAACACCACAGCTGGCTTAGAAAATCAGAGATGACACTTTGGTATAAGATATTAATTGAGAAACATCAAATACTTTGGTTTTTGTTTGTATTGTGTGTGTTTTATTTTATATCAAATACTTTGAATGCAAACAGCACCTTCCCCTCAAACTCATGCAGTAAGCTCTTTAAGAAACTGCCCTGGTGTGCTAAGTGGTTAAAGCTTCAGCCCCCACACAAAAGGGTTGTGGGTTCAATTCCCAGTCAAGGGCATCTACCTGGGTTGCAGGTTCAATCCCCCTCTCTCTCTCTCTCCACCCCTCCCTTCCTTCCACTCTCTCTAAAAAAAGATCAATGGAAATAATATCCTGGGTGAGGATTAACAAAACAGCAAAAAAAAAAAGAGAGAGAGAGAGAGAGAGGGAGAAAGAAAAAGAAACTAAAAACTAAACCTGCCTATTTTTCTTCTGTACAGGATCGTGAAGAAAATTTTCGAATGACCAGTGAAGACACAAATAGCAATGTTTTATGGTGGGCTTTTGCACAAACATTAATCTTTATCTCAGTTGGAATTTTCCAAATGAAGTACCTTAAAGACTTCTTTATAGCTAAGAAGCTTGTTTAAAATGCTAATAAAGACAGATAACTACCTGCTGATTTGCATAACATTTGAGTTACTAAATCAAAATACATTCATATATGTGTATTACAAGAGATCCTCAAATAATATCATTTTGTTCAATGTCATCTATATATATAAAATTCTAATGTGCAAATTGACCGAACGGCAGAACTGAACAACCGAACAACCAGTTGCTATGACGTGTGCTGACCACCAGGGGGCACGTGTGGAACATGGTGGGCATTGGCTGCAGCAGGATGGTGGAGCAGGTGGACAGACTAAAGCGGGGTGGGGTGCTGGTCGCTGTCATTGGGCGAGCCTCTGGTGGTTACTGAAAATTCTTTGCTCCCGTGCGCTGTGGTTCCGCCTGGCACTTGCACCTGCTGCTGGTACCAGCCCCACTCACACCCACTGCCGGTGCCTGGTGCTAGCCCCAATCACTCAGCGCTGTTAGTCAGTTCAAGCAGCGGCTGCTGGCCCCGATCGCCCCAGGGCTTCTCTACCTCCCCTTGCTCCTGAGGGGTGATTGGGGCAGCAGCCACCGCTCATACCTGCTGCTGGCGCCGGCCCCAATCATTCCGTGCTGTCAGCGGGTGCGAATAGGGCTGGCGCATGGGAGCAGCTGTGGCGAGAGGAGGGCTGCCAACAGACAGGAGACCGGGGGCCACGGCAGGAGGAGCCAGGCGGGGCCGCGGAGGATGGGGTGAGACCCGCCCCTGTGCCCACCGCAGCCTCGCAGCCCACAGTTCCTTTCAAGGTGCACAAATTATTGCACTGGGCCCCTAGTTTTGTTATAATGTTGATGAGAAGAAAAATGTTTCCCAGCTGGGCTCACTATCTGTGGAATTTACACATTCTCCCCGTGTGTGGGGGGAGGGGAGATCCTTCCACATCCCAATGACGTGCACAGATGCACATGTGAGGTGAATGGTGTATCCACACTGTCCCAGTCAAAGGGAGTGTGGGTGCCGGTGTGGGTGACCCTGCGATGGAAGGGCATCCTGACTGGGTGGGGTCCCACCTTGCACCCGGAGCTGTCGGGTTGGACTGGCCACCAGTGATCCTAAATGGGAATAAGCAGTTGGAAATAATGATTTTACTTGTTTCCATTAATCTTTTTTTTGTTTGTTTTGTCTTTTTTTCATTAATCTTTCTTCAATGTATATATAGCTTACATTTACTTCAAGGGTTAATATGAGAAGTGTTTGGGGTCTTTATTTAGAAGTTAGGTGTTTTTCTGACCAGAAATATGCTTTAGGAACCTAATTCTTGTTAATATCAATTAGCCTAGACCAGCAATGGCGAACCTTGTGAGCTCGGCGTGTCAGCATTTTGAAAAACCCTAACTTAACTCTGGTGCCGAGTCACAGATAGACATTTTTTGATATTTGCAACCATAGTAAAACAAAGATTTATATTTCTGATATTTATTTTATATATTTAAATGCCATTTAACAAAGAAAAATCAACCAAAAAAATGAGTTTACGTGTCACCTCTGACACGCGTGTCATAGGTTCGCCATCACTGGCCTAGACCCTAGGGTGAAACTGGTTTCATTATATGTCATTTTGTTTAAAGTTACAAGTTCGAAGAACCTGTCGACGACGTTAAGTGAGGATTACTGTACTTTCATGACCCCAGACATCAGAGGTTGAAGTTACAGAATTCTAACACGGATAAAAGGTTGCTTTGACAACGTAGCTCCTGGGTGAGGTAGGTAAGCGCATCATCAGCTCTTATTTCAAACTTGGTATATGCCAGCACTGCCCAACAGAAGTAAAGTCTCAGGACACAGGCAAAATGTAAGTTTTCTGCCTGCCACACAACGAAGGTTTTAAAAACCAGCACAATCAACCCTAGAGACACCTGTGTAACCCATTGCATCAAAAATGGGCCGGCTGTGGTGGCTCAGTGGGTTGAGCATCGTCCCATGGACCAAGAGGTCCCAGGTTCGAGTCCCAGTCAGGACACATGCCGGGTTGGGCCCGACCCCGTGTGGGGTGAGCAGGGGCAGCAAACTAATGACTCTCTCATCATCGATGTCTCTCTCTCTCTCCCTCTCCCCTCCTCTCTGAAGTCAATAAAAATATATATATTTTAAAATGTTACCACTGCTGGTGGGTGTGGCTACGCGGTCGAGCACAGACCCTGCACCACCAGGTCTTGGATTCGCCAACAGGGCAGCTGCCTGGGTTGCGCTCCACCCCGAGGGGCCTGCGGGAGGCAGCCCATCAGCGTTGCTGCTTCTGTCTCATCCACGTTCCTATCTCTGTCTCTCCCTCTCCCCTCCTCTCTCTAAAACCCATACAAACAGAGCTTTTTAATGTCACCACTCACAGAATCAGCACAATGGCTACTGCACTCCTTTTCCCATAGGTCTTGGGGACGTGGGTATTATTTTATGTTACTTTGCACTAGGCACACACCGCAGCTTGGACCAGGCACATCTCAGGTCACAGCCATGTCCCAGGGGTCACAGCCACGTCCCAGGGGTCACAGCCACGTCCCAGGGGTCACAGCCACGTCTCAGGGGTCACAGCCACGTCTCGGGGGTCACAGCCACGTCCCGGGGGTCACAGCTACATCTCAGGGGTCACAGCCATGTCACAGGGGTCACAGCCATGTCCCAGGGGTCACAGCCACGTCTCAGGGGTCACAGCCACGTCTCGGGGGTCACAGCCACGTCCCGGGGGTCACAGCTACATCTCAGGGGTCACAGCCATGTCTCAGGGGTCACAGCCACATCTCAGGGGACACAGCCCCGTCCCAGGGGTCACAGCCACATCTCAGGGGTCACAGCCCCGTCCCAGGGGTCACAGCCCCAGTAGGACCGGCCCACGCTGGGCGCAGAGTCAGCCTGAACCCCCGCTTCTCTGGACTCCCCAGGAGGCACCACCTTCCTCACAGCAGCCGCCGCCCAGGCCCTCCGGACGGATGACCAGCCCCGGGCCCGCAGGCCAGGCGCGGCTCCCACCTGCTTCCTGTTCCCGCCGCAGCGCGGGGAGCAGCCCAGCCCCGGCCAGGCCCCAGGTGCGGGAGCGTAGGCGGCCCGCGGCGCACCAGCCCTCAGGCCCCGCCCCCTCCTCCGCCCCCAGCGCCCCGTCCCCAGCACCCTTCCCGAACCTCCGGACACCCCGTGTGCCCGCCCTGCACCCACACTGACGGAGAGACGGCAGATGCGGGACCCTGGTGCCCCCCGCCGGGCCGCGCCCTGTCCCGCAGTCGCAGTCGCGCCTCACCTGACCCTGCGGCCGTGCTGACGACGACTTTGCTGTGGCCGGGCCTGCGACCCGCTGCCCTCAGACGTCCCGGGGCGGCAGCGGCAGCGGCGGGAGGAGGCGCCAGTCCTCCGAGCTGGTTGCGCCCTCGGAAGTGCGGCCGGAGCGGCAGACGGCGCCTCACGCTGCCTTCGCGCGCCTGTCAGGTCGGCTTCGCTCTGGGTTTTGGCGGGAGCGCCGGGCGCTGGTGCGCATGCGCGGGGGTGCGCTCCGTCTGCGTCTGCGCAGGTGCGGGGCTGCGGCCGCAGGCGCACTTCCGGGCAGCCCTGGGCCTCGGCGCCTCGCGGGTGGCGCATGGCCGGCTGGGTGTTCTGTAACGGCTGCTTCCAGCCGCCCGGCCGCGCCTCGCACTTCAGCCTCACCAGCTGCGGCCACGTGTACTGCGACGGCTGCCTGAGCAGAGGTGGGCGCGGCCGGGGGGGGGGGGGGGATGGGCCTGGGGGCGGGGGGAGGGGGATGGGCCTGGGGGTGGAGGATGGGGGCGGGATGCCGGGACCGTCCTCCGGCTGCTGTGCAGGGAAAGGGCTGTGTCCTGCCCCGAGCGGGGAGTGGGCGCTGGGGGCGCCGGACCTGGGGCAGAGGCCGGGGGAGCAGTGGGTCCCTTTAGGGGCGCTGTTTGGGGGTGTCTTTGGGAAACGGGAAGGAGGGGGACTGTTGGTTGTAGAAATCCTTTCAGCCCCCCCATGTGAAGGTGAGGAAATGGAGGCGGGCCGTGTGCTTGGAGCAGCGTTACCCCGAAAGCTGTGCTCGCCCCGCCGCCCCGGTCACACCGCATTCGCTCTTCTCTCGCAGGTAAGGAGGGCGAGTGCCTCATCTGCAAAGTGCCCTGCCGAGCAGTCTTCCTCTCAAAACACGTAAGTGGAAACCCGTAGCCCGTGTCTGAATACTGATCGCCGCGTTCCCTTACAGGTGAGGTTCCACCTGCAGTCGTTCGTGGTGTCTGAGCGCTCCGTGCCTGTTGTCGGGTGACCGAGCAGGCCTCCGGAATCTCAGAGCACAGCTAGGGTCCGGCCGGGACCTCCTGCAGCCTTCTGGGCTGCCGGGGCTGCCTGCGCTTCGCCGTGCGATGCTCCTGGGAATGGGGATGTGTGGAATAGATCCCTTCGGTGCAATGCCAGCGTGCTCCGTGCTGAGAGCAGGGGTTCTCAGCCTTGGCTGCACCTTGGAGTCACCTGGGAATCTTTTTAAAATCCTGATTTCTGCGCCTCATCCTCCGGAAGTTCTGTTTCTTTGTTACTCATGTTGTGGCCCCACCCCATAACAAAGAAAAAGAACTTCCGGAGGACGAGGCCCGGAAATCAGGATTTTAAAAAGATTCCCAGGTGACTCTAATGTGCAGCCAAGGTTGAGAACCACTGGCTTAGAGTGTCAGCCCACACACCAGAGGGTTGTAGGTTCAAGTCCCAGTCAAGGGCACATGTCTGGGTTGCAGGTTCGATTCCCGCCCCGGTCGGGACATGTGCCGGAGGCAACCAATCGCTCTCTCTCCCTCCCCCCCCTTCCACTCTCTCTAAAAATCAATAGAAAAGGTACCTCGGGTGAGGAGTAACAACAAAAAGAAGGTGGGGGAGTTTGGTTTTTCACAGCTGTCATATCTACTTAAGAGGATTGGAGGAAAGTAGGTATTGCTGTTGCAGTAGGCTTAAAATAATGCCTTTTGTTCTCTTTGTAAAATACATGAATTTAACTTGTTTGCTTTAAATTTAGTTACAAATAATTGTCCTCTTTACACCTAAGCTCCAAGATGTGTATTTGATCTGATGTTTTAATCTATAACAATTGCTTTTTTTCTGATTACAAATGTAAAACAAAGTTACATATTATGCAAATGATACAAAAGATCATAGTGGAGGAGGTGGAAGCCCTCAGATACTGTTGCCCAAAGACAGCAGCCAGGAGTGGAGCGCCTGGTCTGTGGGTGCTATTCGGATTTATTCTTACAGAAATGGTGTTTTCTCAAGTGACATATTTTGGGCACTCCCACACTCTTTAAAGGTGACTGCGTAGCCTTTTAAATGTTTTTATTGATTTTCTTTTTTTCTTTTTTTTGTAGAGAGAGAGAGAGAGGAAGGGAGAGAGATAGAGAGAAACATAAATGGGAGAGAAACATCGATAGGCTGCCTCCTACACGCCCCCTTCTGGGGACTGAGCCCGAAACCCAGGCATGTGCCCTGACGGGGAATCGGGGACTCGAACTAGTGACCTCCTGGTTCTTGTGTTAATGCTCAACCACTGAGCACACCAGTCAAGCATGATGGATTCTTGTCTATGAACTTACAGCTCTGGTCTTGCTAAGTTCACCTGGTAACTGTGTTGGCTCAGCTGTGGGTGTTTCCAGGCTCCACAGTCGCGCCGTCTCTGTTTGTTTCGTGCCTTCTGTGTTTCTCTCCCCTGCCTCGGCCTGCACTCCGTACCGTGTGGAGTATGGACGGCAGGGGCCATCTCTCGTGGAGGGTTTCTCCCCTGATTTCAGGGTCGTGGCAGTGTTTCCGTGAAGTACTGTGTGCGGTGTGGGTTTTTTGCTATGGCTTTTTATCATGAATGGTGTTGAACTTTACCCAATGGCTTTTCTGTCACTGTTAAGCTTATCATTGTTTTTTCTACTTTATTTTGTCAATGTGGTGAGTTGCATTTATTTTTAGAGCTTTAAACCCACACTAGCTCCCAGGAACAGATCCGACCTGGTGCGAGGCAGCCTAGTGCGCGTGTCTAGATGAGCTAGACGCCGTGCAGCTGTGTCCACGTGGGAGCTGCGTGTGGTCCTCTCTCTCCCAGGCCCTTCTCAGGCCTCGGTGCATGGGCAGTGGGGAGGGGGGCATGAAAGCAGCTGGGGCCTCCCATCCTCTCCTCTCGTAAAATGTGGTGGGATTCACAGGTGAAGTTGTCGGAACCTGGAAGGGATTTGGTGAGGAGGTTTCAACCAGGGACTTAGTTTCTATGTTAGACACTCAGTGCCTACCTCCGTCAGGTCGACCTAAGGGAGCTGTATTCACAGGAGGGGGTGCCCTTTCCTCGAGGTTGGGTGTCCTGTCACCAACACGTGTGCAGTCCTCGGTGCTCTCAGCGTCCGGAAGGCCTGTGGTGATGCACGTTTCTTCACTTTAATGGTGGTTATTGTGCCTTCTCTCCTTTTCTTGAACAGTCTTGTCAGTGTTTATTGACCTTTATTCGTATTTTCAAAGAACTAATTCTTGGTTGTGTTTCTTTATTGTACACCTGTTCTCTGGTGAGTTCTCCTTGCCATTTTGTCTCCTCTTTCCTCTTTGCTTTCATTTGCTCTTTAAGATGGAAGCTCACATCAGCTCCCCACCTTGTCTTCCTCCTGTTTACATCCCAGGCCGCACCCCACTCTGTGCTCATCCTTGCCTGAGCAGAACAATTCAAGTCTCTTCTCAATTATTCCTGCGACCCATGTGTATGTGGTTAATTTAGAAATATTTGGGGATTTTAGTTATCATTTCTACTAATTTTCATTGACGTATAATGCCGAAAGTGCACAAATGAAAAGTGCGTAGCTCAGCGAATTCTGCCCGATCTGAGAGTGACTCGCACTGGTCTGGGACACCCTGTGCGGTTGCCCTTAAAGTCGGACAGGCTCCCATCCTTCCTGGGCGGGGCCTGGACGCTTTGACTCCGCTTCCTCCTTCCCTCCGATTCCTAGTGCTGCCCGAGGCGTGCACCTTATTCTCTCCCAGAGACGTAAGCCCACAGACATCGCTGCCCGGATCCCACCGCCGCCCAGGTTCCCACAGTCCCACTTCCTCCCGCTCACCGTTCCCAGCCTCCCTGACGCCCCCGAAGGTCACTTTCCACCCCTGGGAATTCCTTTGTCAGGTCCTGCATTGAGGCCTGTGGTGACAGCTCTCCAGAGGGACTAGACCTGCCTGCATTGTGATGCATATTGCGCTCGTTAGGCTGCTTTCCTGGACATGAATGCTTCCTGTGTCTTGGATCACATGGCTCCGTTCGCTGTGGCTTTTCACGGTCTGGCTGTCCTGTGGTATCCGGCTGAGCTTCAGGGAGACCCCAAAGCCTGTGCAGAGGCTGTTATCAGAGTGGAGGCCTCAGCCTCTGCTCCCTACACCCGGTCCCACTCAGGCTCCTGTCCACCCAGGGAAGCCACACCTGCCTGTCCACTGGGGTCCCTGTCCACGTAGAGTGAAGCCACACCCGCCTGTCCACTCGGGTCCCTGTCCACATAGAGTGAAGCCACACCTGCCTGTCCACGCGGGTCCCTGTCCACATAGAGTGAAGCCACACCTGCCTGCCCACGCGGGTCCCTGTCCACATAGAGTGAAGCCACACCTGCCTGCCCACGCGGGTCCCTGTCCACATAGAGTGAAGCCACACCTGCCTGTCCACGTGGGTCCCTGTCCACATAGAGTGAAGCCACACCTGCCTGTCCACGCGGGTCCCTGTCCACATAGAGTGAAGCCACACCTGCCTGCCCACGCGGGTCCCTGTCCACATAGAGTGAAGCCACACCTGCCTGTCCACGCGGGTCCCTGTCCACATAGAGTGAAGCCACACCTGCCTGTCCACTCGGGTCCCTGTCCACATAGAGTGAAGCCACACCTGCCTGTCCACACGGGTCCCTGTCCACATAGACTGAAGCCATACCTGCCTGTCCACACGGGTCCCTGTCCACATAGAGTGAAGCCACACCTGCCTGTCCACAGGTGTCTTCCCTGTGTGATAACCTGTGTGTCACTTGCTCTCCACTCCTGAGCACAGGCCGCCACGCTCTGTTGGGCGCTCCCTGTTTCCTGTGGCTATGGGTGCCGGGGCTGTGGGTGCCAGGCTGTGGGAAGGCATGCTTCTGCTTCTGTGACCCGGGACCAGGCCCTGAGGTGTGGGGCGAGGCCAGGGTGGCAGGTTGAGTTGGTGTCGAGCAGGACTTGTGGGCACCTGGAGCCCCTGCCCCGCCTGTGGCCCACCTGCCTGTGACTTGCAGGGGTCGAGTCCAGGGACCCAGCTGTCCAGACACCCTGTGTGGCCCCTCCCTCCAAGGTCTGGGGCGGCTCAGGCCAGGCACTGCCTTCCAAGGACATCTTCTAGCTTCTGCCGCCCATCAGGTGTCCTCCCTGCACTTAGTTTTACCTCATTTCGGTGGGACCTGGGGAGCACAGTGAGCGTCAGTGGAGGGACTCAGATTCTGTTCTGATGCCCGTGCCATGCTGACGGTTCCGAAGCCAGGACCAGGCTGCCGAGGGACTGCTCGCCTGTATCTTCTGGGTCTGCTGTCCTTACCCGGTGGCTGTGTTTGTCCCCGTCTGTCCCTGCTCAGGGCGTCCTCCCACGCCTATGCCCTCGATGGCTGTCACTGTTGGCCCACTGTGGGTGCCGAGGAGGAGGGGGCAAGGAGGAGGCAGGCCTGACTCGGTGGAGTGGGCAGCATCACTTCTGAACCCACTTTTCCTTGAGTTCTTCATGTTTGCTTCTTAAAGGACTGACTGATAGGAGGCTCACCAGCACTCCCTCCCTGACGTAGTGTTTCCTCTGAGCTCAGCTTCCCCTTTGGCCCTTTACCCTTCGAGGCCTGGGTTCCTCCTGACAGAGAGGGGCCTGTGGCCCAGAGGGTGCCACCAGCTGCCAGGCACGCTGCCCTCACCCCACAGCCCCGGGCAGCCAGGAGGTGGGTGCCCGTGCCTGCTGGCGACAGCGAGGGAAGCACTGGTCCTGCGGGTCCCGAGGTTCATCTGGGTCTCCAGTTTGCCTCTGCATCACGCCCTGAGCGTGTGCCAGGCAGCGAGCGGAAATGGTGTCTTTCTCTTCCAGACGGACCCAGGGGTCCAGGCGCTCTTCATGGGCATAGACGGCCTGTGCAGGAAGTATTCCAAGGAGACCTCCCAGGTGCGTGGGCCTTCTCCTGGGGCACGCGAGCCTGTCGCCGTGGGAACCCACTTCCTGATGACCCAGGGCTGATGATCTTGCCCTGGAGAGCAGACCCCAGGGGCTCGGGGCGGGGGGGGGGGGGGTGCTCCCTGCCCCTGTGCCGTCTTCCCTGCAGGGATGCCATTCGCTCTGCTCCGTGTTCCTGCCCTGCTGCTGTGGGGGTGACGTGTCCTGTGGTCGGGACGCCCAGCTGATCTCAGGCGTCTGGGTCAGGGGGTGTGGCTGCAGTGTTTGACCCTGAGCCCTCTTGGCTCCAGGTGCACTCCCCAGCCCAGCTCTGAGGTCGCGAGTCGGTGCCCTCCCTGGGTCCGATGCCAGTCTGACCTCCTGGTCCACCAGGCTGTCCAGGGAGCTGTCCGTAGAGCAGCCCTCTCTGCCAGCCCATCCGGCCCCCCTTCTGATAACAGTGCTGCCCCCACCCCCGCTGTTGGCACCTCCCACCTGCCCCTCCCTGGAGAGGCCTAGCAGCAGGCTGAGGGACCACACTGGCCTGGCCGTTCTCGGCCGTTGGCTTGTTCTCTTGGAAACATGTCAGCCACCAGGACGGCCCTGCTCTGGAGGCTGCTCTTGGGCTCAGGGCCCGCTGTCTCAGGGCTGTGCCCCTCCACCCTGCAGGCTCCCCGGGGGCCTGATGCCCCAGGACACGGCATGGGCACAAGGCAACAGCCAAGCAGGGACATGGGCTGATTTCGTTGCACATTCCCAGGGGGCCTCTTGGGCCAGGTCCCCGGGACCTGGAAGCTGCCGTGTTGGTGAGCTGGGGGAGTCCTCACCATAGCGCTCGACCCACAGGCGGCCCTGAGCCGAGAGCAGTCGTGCTGGGACCCGCAGAGCCTGGGGCAGCCTCCGGAGGAGGCAGGGTGCCTGTCCTCCATCTCAGGCCCCACACCCGGCCCAGGTGCAGAGAGGCGTGGAGGCAGCTGGCTGCCGAGTGGCCTCCCTCCAGGCCTCTGGCATCGCCTGTCCCAGTGCCTCGCTCGCTGTCTACCTCAGCATGTTGGGCTTACCGTTATTTTACTATAATGAATACTTTAAGTTTCTCTCAGTATTAATTCCTAGTGGGGAAACAACGACAGGGAAAACCCACATAAGCAGAGCTTTTAGGGGTCCTCAGTAACTTTAAGGGGAGCCTGGGACCTGCCCTGCATCCATCAACCCGCTCCACCCTCGAGGTGCCGGAGCCGGAGGGCTTTCTCGTTCTGTCTGATACCGTCCCTGACGTGAAACAGTGCTTCCCTCCCTGGGTCAGCGCGGCTCGTAGCTCTGGGGCCAACTCCAGACCGCGTGCAAGGGGGCTCCTGAACGGAAGTGCCCCTGGGAACCCAGCCCCTGTCACAGCTCTCGGGAGCGCGGCTTGTCCCGCCCACCTAGCCCTCTCCACACACAAGTCACAGGGGCGGGGCGGGGCGGGGGGGGGGGGGCCAGGTCTAGAGAGAGACGGTGCCCTGTGTGCTCCTGCCCTCAGTGGGGCATGCTCCTCTGTGTGAGCGTGCCCACTGTGTTCTGAGTGCACGGTGGGGTGACCAAGGTCGCGAAGACGCAGGCAGCTCCGGGTCAGGCAGGCAGCAGGGTGTGTCTGGGGAATGCACAGCGTGGCCATGTGCCACTGCAGCAGCTGACCTGTGTCATCTCCCCAGATTTCAGAATTTCAAGAAAAACACAGAAAGAGGCTGTTAGCCTTCTACAGAGAAAAGGTAAACCCCATCTCAACTTCATGTGACCCTGTGACCCGACCCCACATCTCAGGGTGGAGGGTCAGGAGGTGGGCATCCGTTCCGTGGACCCTCAGCCCATTGCACAGTTCCCATCCGCCACCGCGATGCTCAGGGCCAGAGGTCACTGGGCCAGTTGTATCCCGGGGCCACTCCTGGCCCGTGGTGCCCCCCTTCACCGGCACTTTTCATAAGCCGACTCTGATGAGCTCTGACTGGTCCTTCCACGGGAGCGACAGCATCCTCCTCCCTGATTGGTGAGCTGAGTGAGCAAGGAAGCTCCAGGGAAGGAAGCTCCACTCAGGGCGGCTGGGGCTGGCTCGGGTCAGGCCTCCTGGAGGGACAGGGACGGAGGCGCAGAGAGGAGAGCGCGCAGCAGCCGGCAGAGGGCAAAGGGGCCAGGTCAGCTTTCTGTGCTGGGGCCACGCCACGGCACACACCCCATGGCCGCCGCCTCACCTGGCTGCCTCCTCACCTGGCCGGGAGTGATGTTTGGGCCTCAGAGCAGCTTAGACAGTTCTCTATTCATTCATCCCGTTGTGTTTTTAAAAAACACCATCGAAGGTTAGGGAGTAAGTAGGGTGAGGGCCTGGCTTTGAAGCCACAGACCCTGTGGCCACCCCCTGGAGTGTGGAAGCTGCCTGGTGTCCATCCTGTGGCCGTGACCTCTCTGTGTGCGACAGGGAAGGTGTGAGGCGCCGCTGCCCTGGGCCTGGCCCGCGCGTGCTTGGTGTCTCCTGCCGTCTGCCCTCCTTACTTGCCCCAGGCCAGGCCTGCGGTGGGTCTGCCCAGAGGGGACGTGTTGCCACCCATCCCCGGCCCCTGTGGGTAGTGTCCGCACCTGGCCACAGCCCCGTCTGCCCCTGCACGCTGCCCCAGGCCCAGGCAGCTCCCTCCTGACTCGTGTGCTGCCTCTGGCGTAAAAATGGAGGGTCCGCGTGTCTGTGCACTGTCACTCGGCCTCAGCCTGGTCACCGAGTCACTGTGTTGTGTGCAGATCGCCAGGCTGGAGGAGGCCCTCAGGAAGGCGATGCTGCGGGTGGAGCAGCTGCAAAGGTAGGTCTGCACCACGCCCCCCCCCACTGCACCCCAGACCCCTGAGCCCAGCCAGGCGTCCGCTCGCTGCCTCCCAGGCCGCGGCCCTAACAAGGGGCCCTATTCCCCAGAAGCTGTCAGGGCAGAGGTGCGCTGGGCCGTCTGGGGAAGGAGAGGAGAGAAGATACAGCAAAGAGGAGTGGTTTCCCAGGGGGCGTCCTGTCCTGTGACTCCCAGGCCACGGGAGGGGCTGGGGAGCAGAGCCAGCGGCCCAGCTGGAGAGGGGCAGCCCCTCCACCTCCGGGGCGGCCGCAGCCCGGGCCTTTTCCCAGGAATGGCGGTCATGGGAGATGAGCACAGGCTGCCGTCTCTGCACGGTCCACACGGTCAGGGAAGGCGGTGCTGTGGGACGCGGCTGAATACTCAGAAGCCCAGTGTGGTGAGACACGTTCATGTGAAGGCCAGGGCGCCGAGGTCCTGAGGGGCTGCTGTCTGGCCGGCTGTGTGTGCAGGTGCCCGGTGCACTATGGCTGGGCTGCAGCAGGAGCTGGGCACGCGGGTCCCGCTCGGCCTCGGCCCACCCGCCACCATCACAGGCTGCTTTCCGAGGTGCACCCCAGCCCTTGCTGGGAACAGAGATGCTGCCAGAGGGGTGGGCAGCAGCACGGGCGGCTCTGTGGCCTGAGCCTGACAGGCCCCCTGGGGCGCGGCTCCGAGTGAGACCCAGGTGCAGAGGGCCCTTCTATTCGTCGCCCTTTGTATAACCTGCTTTCTCTCTGTTCAATCATCTCGTCATTCTGGAAAGTTCCAGCTATGGCCCGCTGAGTCCCCCGCAGGCTGGCCCTCCTAGCGAGGCCCCCTGCCACCTACGAGTGTCCTTCAGGCTCCAGTCCTTCTGCTTCCACCTCTCCCTCAAGCTTATTTCACTGCTCCGTTCAGCCTTCTAGAACAGTGATTCTCAACCTTCCTAACGCCGCGACCCTTTAATACAGCTCCTCATGTTGTGACCCAACCATAAAATTATTTTCGTTGCTACTTCATAACTGTAATGTTGCTCCTGTTATGAATCGTAATGTAAGTATCGGATATGCAGGATGTATTTTCATTGTTACACATTGAACATCATTAAAGCAAAGTGATTAATCACAAAAACAATATATAATTATATATGTGTTTTCCGATGGTCTTAGGCGACCCCCAAAGGGGTCGCGACCCACAGGTTGAGAACCGCTGGTCTAGAACATTCTGTCACCGTGACCGGGCCTTGCTTATTTCTGTGCCTGCCGGGCAGTCTATTTCCTGCCCTGAAACCCTTGCGAGGCCAGGCCTGCCTCCTCCTCGGCTTCCGCTCGTGCAGGTCCTCCAGGTGATGTGGTCGGTGCACGCCAGTGTGGCCTGGTTTTCCCGCAGGGTGGGCCCACACACCCCGCCTGCCGGCTCCCTCACCCATGTCCACACTCCCTCGCAGGCATCCTGGGGGCAGGGGTCCCTGCCCTGGTTTCTGTCCCCCGTGGCCTGGAGAGACAGCCTCCCACGTGCCCAGTTTTAGGGTCGTTGGGAAGCGGGAAGTGCTGCAGAGGCGCTGATGGGCCCAGCCCTGCCGCTGTGTGCCAGCCTCAGGGCCTCCTGCCAGGCACACTCCTCAGGGCCTCTGGGATAAAAGTGAGCGCTAGGCCGGCGAGGGGGGCTCAGCCCTGCCCTCTGGTTGGAAATAAGTCCTCATGGTTTATAATTCCCTCTCCCCACCTGTTTAGTATGAGACCGTCCCAACCCACAGCCTTCAGCGCGCTAAGAAGTCCAGTTTCAAGTAAGTGGTGGCCTGCTGCGCGGCGAGTCAAGGACGTGCCAGGGCAGAGCCCAGGGCAGGCAGAGCCGAGGGCAGGCGCGCCCTCACCCTGTGGTGTTTTGTCACAGCTCCTTCTGCAGAGCCCTGCGGACAGCTGCTCCGGCCTCCCGGCTCCTCCGCCTCCTCCGAGAGGTGTGTGTGCAGGGCTGGGGGAGCGGGGGCCCATGGGCCACACTCAGGAGCTGCAGCTCCTTCTTTGCCACCCACGCCCCTCCTGCCACCCTCCCCCCCTCCAGGTTCCCACGTTCTGATGCCCAACACAGGCCCCAGGAGCTCACCCCGCAGCAGCTCTTACTCATCGCCAGGGCCTGGGGGCTGGCCCATCCCAGTCCTGTCCCTGTGGCCTGGCGGCTGGTGGAGGAGTGGTCATGTGACTCGGGTGGGACTCTCTCCCAGGACAGCTCAGAAACAAATCTGGCACAGGGGACAGGACGAGAGGTGGTGACCCCTTGGGGACCCTACCCAGCCCTGGCAGCCGGTCCCTGGAGAGCATCCCTCTTCCACCTGTTCTTCCTTGAAATGCCGCGAGCTGGGTCCACACGCAGCACCGGAGGCCCTGGCAGCGTCCGCCCGCACTGCCTGTCCCTGTGTCCCAAGGGCAGTGGGCCTGGCACTGAGCGCGCAGCCAGAAAGTGACTCAGCGATTGGTTCCCTCCTTCTCTTCCTCCCTCCTTCCCTTTCCCCCCTCCCTCCCTCCCGGCCCTTTCCTCCTGTGGGGAAGCCCAAGTGATGCTCTCCGTCAGCCTAGAGCAGTAAGTGAAGGAGCCGCCCTAGGAGCACTGATGGTGTGCAGTGAGCCCAGCCGTGAGCAGCACCTAAAGCAAATGAGATGCTGCAACCCCAGGGCGCTGGCAGGACCTGGAGGAGCAGAGACACAGCGGAGGAGGCCACCTGCACTTGCGATGCCCTAGGCCGGCCACACAGGGCCTCCCCAGAGCGCGGCAGGCCCTCCCTCCGTGTGTGGGGCTGGGTTTGGTCTGACAGACAAGTGGCAGACAAGAGCTAAGAGGGAGGTGACTGATGGGGCCCAGTGTGAGCAAGGAAGACGGAGCCGGACATCCTGGCGCAGCGTGCATGTGTCAGTCGCTCCAAGTCTCAGGCCAGTGACTGTCTGGCTGTCGGTTTACAGAGTGGAGCCCATGGAGGTCGACCTCACGCCCTCCCCCCTGAGAAGGGTGAGTAGTCTGTTCCCCTGTGTGTCGTGTTTCCTGCATGTTCAGGGCCTCCTGCTTCTCAGCGCTAACGGCCGTGGCCGCTCCTTCCCGGCCGTGGCCGCTCCTTCCTGACCGTGCCGCTGTAGGAGGCAGGGCCACGCTGGCATGGGACATGTGGTGGGCTGCTGCCATGCTCCGCCTCCACCTGGGCAAGTGGTGGGAACGGGGATGAGTGAATCCAGGATCCCCTGACAACCTATTGGTGAGGAGGTGGGTCAGCTTCACCAGGAGAGAAACATGGGTGACACTGGCATGTGCCTGGCTGGGAGCCAGCCCAGCATGCGGGCCCTGCCAGGGCAGTACCAGGCCCTGTCATCAACACCTGGGTTTCCAGGTGACGGTTTTGCACCGAAAATGAGGATTTACTCAGGATTTTAAAATGTCTAGTGTCAGCTAAAACTGTCTGCTTTTTCTCTGTTCCAAAATTCTTAGAAGCACCTAGCGAATTCCTTGTCCACTCACTGCTGTGGGGGCCAGGAGCACAGTGGGGGCCAGTGGGACACCCTGTCTCCCAGGGCTACATCCCAGCAGACTGGGCACGGCAGGCTGGCGAGGGGCTGTGTTCTCAGGGCGGAGGGGCTCTCATTACCCATGAAAACAGTGATGTTACCCACTGTTCCCTTTTCCCGTCCTTAGCCCGAGCCAGCCGGCCCCACCAGAGTCTCCCTGATCAGTCCTCCCCAGGACGGACGCATGGGTGAGTCCCTCCCTCACCCGGACCTTGAGGGATGTGCCCGCCTTCAGCCGTCTCCCCTCCCCCCGCTTCACAGCATCCCGGGCGCCTGTTCAGCCGGGACTCAGCCTCGCCTGGTGGCGCAGGGAGACGAGGCTCCCACGCTCCCGGTGCTGACCCTCCCTAGATGCCAGGTGTTTCAAGGCAGGTCTGTCTACGTCGCATCAAATAGCCTTGCTTCCTGCGAGGAAACCTCAGCCCGAGGCTAGGGGGGCCCTGGAGCGGCAGCACTCTGGCCAGGCTCTGCTGGGCTGAGGCCCCAAGGCGGCCTGCTCAAGAGGTTTCGCCTCCGTGAGCCCCCAGCAGACCCTGTGCCCATGGCTCAGCCTGAACCCGCAGAGCCCCGATGGAGAGCCTGACGTCGGGGCAACCAGAAGGCCTGGGCCCACCTGGCCTCAGAGCCCTGCTCTCGAGACCCAGACAGTTGTTGACCTGTCGAGGCCTCGAGTTCCTCATCGCTGTTGACCACGGTCACCCCATGGATCCCTGTGAGCGTGAATAAGAGGTGCTTGCCGGACCCCATTACTGAGCATGTGCCATTCTGCCTGAGCGTGAAACCGGGATTTGTGTAGTCGGCTGGGGCGGCCGGCAGATCAGGAGACGACACCCATGCGGGCCAGCGGGCAGGCAGGTTCCGCAGGGCCAGCCAACCAGGTTTGGCCCTGGCAGGCAGTGTGGGGGTGCGGGGGCTACCCCTCGGGTCAGCCCTACCTCAGGGATTAGGGCAGAGTGGGTTGCCAGATGGAGGAGGTGACCCGAGCACAGGCAAACCTCTGACCCATGCGATTTAGCCTGCCCAGTGAGGGGCAGTGTGTCTGGGATTCGCAAGGCCCCGGGGAGTCCAACCATCTGAAAATACAGAAAATAAAAACGGGATTAACAGAACCTCCTGGGACGGTTTGCTTCGCTGGTTCTCAGCTGTTCTGCGGGGTCTGCAAGTCACTAGGGCAGCATCCCCTACGGTCCACGCAGCCCAGGCCACTTAGTGCTGTCCCACCTCAGGACGGGCTCTGCAGCTGTGAAAGGACACGGGGAGCCTCCCCTGCCCACTCTCTTCCTTCTCACTCTGCCTTTTGTCCGTGACCGTTCTCCACAGCAGGCAGCCAGGGGCTCAGTGTTCACCAGCACTTCCACGCGTGCCCTCTGGCCTCACTAAACACACAGCGGGCCTTTGCATCCAAAATGCTTCTCATCAGCCTAGACATGCGGGCTCAGGGGAGATGGCCCTGGTCGGCTCCGCTGACCCACCCTCAGAGCCCAGAGCTTCTGGGAGCAGTGACAGGAGTGAGTGTGGGGGCGAGTGCTGAGCGCCTCGGGCCCCGGTGTCACAGGCAGAGGCCAGCACGCAGCCCACAGCCCGTCCTGAGCAGGCCTGTGGCCTTCACGCGGCTGCTCAGGAGGGTGGTGGCAATGCTCTCGGTGCACAGGGGGTGACGGCTGAGTGGGAAGGGGTGTGTCGGGCGCAGTGGGAGGCATGGGTGGGACAGTAGGTGTGTCTTCTTCCTGAAGCAGCGCTGTGTTCACCCATCCCCCCCCCCCCCCACCCCCCACCCCCCACCCCCCCCCCACCCCCCGCAGGCAGCGTCTCCCGCCTAGGCCCTCAGCAGCTCAGCCTGACGCCAGGTCGCACCAGCGGGTTCCAGACGCTCAGGTGGGTCCCGGGCGCTCAGCTGGGTCCCGGCAGCTCCTGCAGGACAGGGATGGTCAAGGCGGGGAGAGTGAGGAAGGAGGTCTCGCTGTTTGCTCTGGGTCGTGCTATGCAGACCACTTTATGGTTTGCTTTTTTGAAGTTAAAATGCAACTCACACCGTTCCAATTCCCAGGCGCCCGCGGGGCTGCAGCATCGCGTCTCAGGGTTCACAGGCGGGCCGGGAGCCGATGGCACATCTGTGTCCCCAACAGCTGCTGACAGAAGCAGGAGCTGGTTTGGCCCATGGGCTACCATTTGCCGACCCCTGAACAGACCATAACCCATGACCCAGCCCATTGCCTTAGACATGGGCCCGCATCTGCACAGGCTCTGCTTGGGCCTGGAGGTCAGGCAGGGGCCCCTCACCCCTCCTAGAGCCCCTGATGGCTCCCCATGCCAAAGGCCACGTCCACACTTGGCCACCTGCCACCGTCCAGCCGTGGCCTTCGCATCCTCCCCAGGCCAGAGCCACACTTGTGCCCACGGCCCTGGTGCATGAGGCAACCCCACCCGCTGCCTGACCACAGCTCCCACGCAGGACTGTGCCAGCCCCTCACCCCGCCCACTGCCTGGGACCCGGCCCCTCACCCCGCCCACTGCCTGGGACCCGGCCCCTCACCCCGCCCACTGCCTGGGACCCGGCCCCTCACCCCGCCCACTGCTGAGGACTGGCCCTCCCGCAGGTGCCTGTGATGTGACTCCTGGATTTTGTGGGCACCAGCACAGAGGACAGCAGTGGGAGGGCCCGCTGAGAGCAGGCACCCGGCCCTGGCAAGGGGCAGCCCCCACACATCAGAGGCTGCCTGCCGGGCACTGCGTGTGCCGCTGTTCCAGTGCCATTGCCCAAGCACAGTGCGCGACCTCCTCCTGGGCACTGGGAACGTGTTTTAATCAGCATGTGGCCTTTAAAACTAAAAAGCATCGTGCTGCCAAAGTCCTTGAAGCGCTGGTGATTGTGTTTGTGACCTTGCTCCTAGGATCCCACCTGTGCTGATGCCCGGCCTGGGGGCATCCCAAAACCTCGGCCTCCAGGCGGCTGGCAGAGCGGGAGGAGGGGGCTCGGCCCCGGAACCCAGGCCGCCCATCAGCATCTCCGGGCTCCTGCAGAGGCAGCAGTCAGGCAAGGACCGCGGCCTCCCTTGGAGAGCGTGTGACCAGCGTGTCGTGTGTGGCAGCACGTGTTCCCAGGTTGTGTCTGAGCTTTCCCTTGGTGCCTCGAGGCTGGTGGTGCTCACACGGTGTCACTGGGCTGTGCTCCACAGGGTCTGCCAGCCTTGGCTTCCCGCCCAGGAGGTGACCTCCTGCCGTGCCCACCGCACTCCAGCCACCCTCCCCGCGCTCACCGCACGCTCACGTGAGGCAGTGGGTGGATTGTCCATTTCTCCTCAATGCAGCGCTCCGGCAATGCCATTAAATAAAGCGTTTTTCTGGTTCTCTGGGCCTTGAAACTACCTTCCTGGCGCCAGGTGCTCCTACACCATGGGTGCCTCGAGCAGCGCCTCCGGGAGGCTTTCTGATCAAGTGCAGAGCCGGGAGGCGGGGCCGCAGTCTGAGGAGCCCTGACAGAGCCTGCACTGACCCACACGCAGGCCTGGCCAGCAGCTCAGGCCGGCCCTGTGCCTGGTGCCTGTCGTCTGTGACGTCCTGTCACGTGTGCCTGTGACTCAGCATGACGCTGTTCCCGACCGGGCAGGTGGCACTGATGCTCAAGCTTGGCTGGGGATAGCGTGCTCCCTCTCGCCCACCAGCTGGGCCACATGGGAGGAAAGAGGCTTGTGGGTTCCTTGTAATCCTCTACGTCATCAGCTCTGTGTGTGCGCTGTATCACCTGGACCTGCGCCTCACGGAGGAGGGGCACATGGGCAGGTAGCACTCGATCGCAGGTGACGCCCCGTCACACAGCCTGGGGAGCCCTCAACAGCGGGAGCCCTGGCGCACGGCACGGATGGCTGTCCCAGCAGCGAGTACACAGTGTGGGGGACGCCCGCCACCCAGTGACTTCAGGGGGCACATGTTCCAAGTGGGTTCCAGTCCCAGGAATGTCCACATGTTGTGAATGCCTGCTGGGAGGGTGACAGCCTCCCCACGGGCTCGGGGTTCACAGGGCGAGGGTGCCCGCCCAGCCTCACGCCAACTGGGCTACCCTCGTCCTGCTCAGCGGCCGGTGCCAGGGCCACGGTGAGGGTGAGGGCCAAGGACAGTGGGCCTGGACAGGCAGGGCAGCCCCTCCCTGGCCGTCTCCGACCTCAGTTCCTCCTCTGCAGCCTCCCACCACGTGTCCCCCACGAGAACTGGGGCGGCGTCTGACACAGCCGTGTATAGCTGCCGCCAAGGCCCCGCCTGGGCTCTGTCCTCCCCACAGCCTCTGTGCAGCCGAGTCGGCGGCTTCTGAGCTCAGCTCCACGTTTGCCCATCTCGTCTGCCCGCCGGGCGAGGCCTCCCCAGGACACGGGACGCCCTGGTCGCCACCACGCCAGCCGCCAGCAGAGTGGGGCCTGGGGACAAAAAATGTGCCCCCGAGTTCCCCACGTGCCTTACTTGTATCTCCCAGAACCGCCTGTCGTGTGAGCGTCTTATTTGCAGAGATGCACCCCACTCTGGGGAAATGGGGCTCTCACCCCAGCAGCCTCTGCTCCTTCGCGATGCTGTTAACGTGTTCATGTGGGACATGGCAACATGGAGTCTGAGGGAGCTGGTGGGGCCACGGCACCCCAGGCCTCTTCCTGGTGGCCACAGGCATGTCTCAATTGGGTCCTGCAGGACCTCCGTGAGGCTCCGCCCCATCCAGGGCACCAGGGGTGCTGGCCCAGCTGCAGTGGGAGGAAACGCAACGCTGAGCCTGCAGACAGCGGGAGGAAACGAACACTGAACGGTGCCGTGCTTAACGTGGAGTTCAGCCCCACGAGTAGAGACGGCCGCCAGACGGGCCCGTCCCCTTCGCCGCTGTTACAGCTGTGTGGGCGCCCCCGGGCGCCTGGATGTCCCCGTGGAGTGGGCTCAGTGGACACGCAGCCCCAGGAACAGCACGGGTGTCAGTGGCCCAGGAAATGTCATGCTGAGTGACCTGGCGGAGCCTCAGGAGGGGCCTCGGGACTGTTGCCTGTCCGTTCAAGGGGCGAACCTCCGACACAGGGTGCGAGGTGGGGAGACACTGGCCGCAGACCACCCCGCGCCGTCTGTCCTGGTCTGTATGACAACTTCTGTCCAGATGTGCCCACTGGTGTATCCGTGTCCTACACCCGATCCGTGCGCCAGCACCTGCTGCGTGGGTGACCGCACCTCCTGTCCTGGTTTTCATGGTTTCTCATCTTGTTTTAATTACAAGGTGACACCTCTTCCTTCAAGCCCAGGGCCGAGCCAGTGGGGGGCAGTCCACTCACACTAGCGCCTCAGGCCCCAGAGACGGCCCAGCCTGGGGGCAGGGCCCCCACCCAGGACCCAGGACCCTCTTCCCAAAGCCCCTCTCCCCCAAGACTCCTCTTCTGCTGCCTTCCCACCAGCCATCCCCCTCAGGAACACCCGCGCCCAGGACCCCCATCCAGGGCCCCGCCCAGGCCACACTGTCGTCTTTGGCTGCTCAGCACCTTCCGGGCCAGATCTCACCTTTCAGACCCGCTTGTGGTCGGGCCACTTGGGTTTAATGAGAACGGGTCCACGTGTGAGCCAGTATCTGCCAGCGTGGTTGTGAGCTCCTCCCGTGGCTCCCGTGGCCCAAGTGGGAGTGAGCAAGTCCTACTTAGTGCCCCCTCCTCAGGGAGCACATTGCCGCACCCCCTCCCAGCACCTACAATGACAGACTCAGCACCCCAAAGCCTGCCCCAGACACTGGAAAACCGGGTAGGGCAGGGGGGTGGTGGCCAGGTTAGGGCACAGAGCCCTGGGAGTGGGGCTCAGCCTGGAGATGAGCGGATATCAGGGGTCTGGAGCAGGTAGGGAGTCCAGGGGTCCCGGGATAATGGGGTTCCAGGGCTGATGCAAAGTGGGGCTGGGGGCTGCCCGAGGATGGGTCTGATCCGAGACACTCGGCAGGCACGTCTGGGTCCTGCAGCCGCCACGGAGCCCCCCAGGAGCACCTGGGCCACAGCCCCCCGTCCTCCCCGTCCCCCCCGGGAGCACAGCCCTCTCTGGCGCAATCACAGAGGCCCTTTCACCCTCCGCCGTGACTCGAGGGAGGCTGTGAATGAGTGTCTTTCAGGCCGGGAGGAAATTCCTAAAATTCTTCGTGGGCAGTGCTGGGCTGCACACCGATTCTCTGTTGCACTCAGGGCCGTGCAGCCGCACTCTGGCGGTGGAGCAGGGGGCGCAAGCCCTCAGACCCGGTCCTCCTGAGGGAGCTCGCGGACGCCAGCAGCCTGGTGCCCCAAGTGACCCACCAGGTCTGCCCTTGAGGTCCCTGCCACCATCCATGCAAGTCAGGAGAGGCCACCACCACAGACGCGCTCCATGCCTGGGGCCCACACTCACCCTGCGAGGGCACGTGGCCTACACGTGGGAGCGCCCGCTGCCTGAGCCCCGGCACCAGGTCTGCTCAGGTTCACCTGTCGGCCTCGTCTTCACGTTCCGTGGAAGGAACCTCACCCACAGAAACGCCAAGTGGGGTGGGGGCTGAGGCCCTGCATCCCAGCTGACAGCTGGCCGCCACGCACACGCGTTTGCACACTCACGCATGCAAATGCACACATGCACACACATGCTTGCCCGCATTTTCTGAACCACGACCACGGACACCAGCCTGTTTCAAGGGCAGTGGCTCCGTGGTTCTCATTCCGGCTTCCTCTGGCATTTCCGTGTGGCAGTCGCCCGTCACAGACACGGGGCCTGGCTGTGTCCTCAGAGGAGGCGTGTGGGCGGGTGGGGCCTCACGTGCCTGGTGGGGGCACCAGGGAGCCCAGGGCTTCCCCATGGAAGAGACGTCTCTGCAGACGGTGTGGTGGGGGCGCAGCTTGTAGCTGGTGTCAGGACCTTCGGGAAGCCCGTAAATCCACCTTCAGGAAATGTCTCCTCCCCGGCCGGCAGAGGCCTCAGCACCCACTTTCCCAGCCGCCCCATTGAGCCCCTGCAGGGGGTGGGCGGACTCAGGAGGGCGACCGACATATGTCATCACGAGCCAGCATGCGGGAGGAGCCCACCCCACTGGGGGTGGCAAACGCAGCCTCCTGGCTGCGTCAGGGAAACTGAGGCCCAGAGCCATGCCCAGCCCCCCTCCCTGTTGCCCTCAGGGTCCAGATGTGGCACGGGACGTGGCGGCCTCTCCCTGCCCCTCTGGACACACTCCAGCCACGTGCACCACACGTGAACGGGCCCCGGGCGAGGACCCTCCTGCGTCCACGGAGCCTGGGTGACCCCGGCAGGCGGAGCCACCGCGGGTCCCGTGCAGACCTTGTGGATACTCGTCCGCTTCACTCCGTGCACTTTCGCTGCCTCTGGTTTCTGCGCTTTTAAATCTGGGCCTAAATTTGAAGGAAGAATGATTCGCCTCAGGACTTCCCTGAGCCAAAACCCCCGGCGACTAATTGGGAGCCGGCGGAGCGCGAGCCGGTGTCCTGGGCTGGGGTTTGCTCTCTCTGCGGGGCCCAGCCTGGAGCCCAGCCCGTGCTGGCGGGCAGCGCAGACCGGGGCCCATCTCCCTGGCGCCCAAGGCACACGGAGCATCACCCACCTGCGCCTGGGTTCTTTCCTGGCGCATGCTGTGGGGCTGGGGTCACCGTGGGGCCCCTCTGGTGTCCCCACCTCAGGAGAGAGGATAGCTGGGCCACCGTGGCTTCTAGAATTCTCCACAGGGTCACCCTTCACAAGGACATTCGACAAGACCGCGTGTCAGAGGAGGAGCCCCACACACACACCCAGGGCTACAGGGCAGCTCGGCCGGCTGAGGATCGGGCCAGCGCCCAGCCTTCTGGACCATCTCCAGCTCCTGCCGTGAGAAACCTCCCGGGAGCTGGTCCCAGAGTCGCCCAGGGCTGGGGCACCCCTGGCAGGCGGGGCGGGGGCCAGGGCACAGGCTGGAACCGCCGCCTCCTCGTCCTACACGGCAGCCAGCTTCCAAGTGCGAAGAGCTCGGATCCGGTCCTTGGAAGCATTTCCAGATGTTTTTGGCATCGGAAGGAGCCTTCCGTGGACCCGGGAACACACCCGGGCGGGCGGGCGGGGGTCCCGCAGACCCCGTGGGCACTTTTGTCATCTGCATGTCAGCGCGCGGCACCAGGAATGTTCGCTGTTTCCAAAGAAAACAGGCCGGCCGGGCGCCTGGCGTGGGGGACACGGGGATCAGGGCCCCTCCCCGAGGACGCCTGCCTGGGCCCAGCATGCCCACCCCCAGCCAACAGGACCTCAGTCCTCCCCAGAGGCCTGACCTGAGTGTGGGCAGGTGAGAAACACGCTGACTCCCACTGTGTACACGCATGCTCGGGCACACATGTGCACTCAGCACGCATGCACACCACACACACACAGCAGCTCCAGGCGACTGCCTCATGCAGCCACGGCCGCCCTGAGACCCGCACCACCTGGGCTGGCCCCCTGCGGGCCGGGCCCCGTCCAGGCAGGACGTCCAGCGGTGACGAGTGGACAACGTGCCCACAGGACTCAGAGCAGCAGCTGGAGGCAGGGGCTCCCTAGCCTTGGGGTTGGGGTGCAGCCTCTGTGGCCTGCGGGGAGCGGAGGGAGCTGGGAAGCCTGCCCACCACTGGTCAGGTGATGACCACCCGGGAGGGAGGACCCTCCGGGACAGCTGCCTCCGACTCGGCCACTCAGCCTCCGTTCTCGCCTCCCTGGCCCGCCTGCCGCTCCAGCTGGCGGCGTCGCGGCAGCAGCGGCCACTTCATTTGGTGAGCCCCTCAGGAAGCTGGTGTATTTGCGATGTTAAAAGCTCAGCCAACATTCAAAACGGGGCTGTTTTTCCAGTGGAAACTGTAACGTGAGCCCAGAGCGTTCTCACTCACTCGCAGACACCCCGACGCCCCCTCTGCAGTGAGGCCGGCGCCGGCTCCGTGGCCACGCCAGGCTGCTCCCCGCGTTGCCAGCGCGGTCCCGACCACGGTGCCTGCCCCTCCAGGCCCCCGGCTCAGGCCCGGAAACCCACCCCCACCCCCAAACACACTGGACCCGGCCGGGAACAGGGCCGGCTGCAGACCTCGGTGCAGGATGGCAAAGCTAAGCACTGTCTGGACCCAGAGGGGCACCAGGGCCAGGGGGAGGCGCCCACAGCGCCCAAGGCTTTGGCACAAACCCCGAGTGGCGCCTGGACCCAGCCTCAGCCAGACCCAGCCTTTCACTCAAGGCCCCAGCTGGCCAGCGTGGCACACGCGAGGCCTGCCCATAGGCAACCTGGTTTCAGCCCAGCCAGGCTGCCGTCCTGGCCCCTCGGGGAGCCCAGTGCCTGGGCACATGCCTTGTGCTCCAAGGGTGCCCTCAAGCCATGACCCCTGACCCCGGGGCACCAGGCATTGGAACTGAGAGCCAGAGTGGCTGTTGTGCGGCTTCCAGGGCCCCCAGGCCCGACTGTGGTCCTCCCACCGGGGCCAGGACCCGGACAGCCCGGCTGGCTCGCGGGCCACTACCTGTCCCTGGGAAGAGCCGTGTCTCCAGCCCGCTTCAGCTTAGGCAGCAAAATATGAGACGACAGTTATGGACTTTGCAACCCAGAGCTTCCGGAAGACAGGCCCCACACTTTGCAGGGGTTTAGGGGTGAAGCAGATGAACAGTGGTCCCTTGAGACTTCACAGCCAGCACTGGGCAGACATAGAGGTTCCCTGGGATCCCCCCCTCCTCCCGCGGCTGAGATCTTTCTTGATCCCCGGGGGCCACCCTCCCCGGCACCAAAGGCGAGGGCGGACTCAGCCTGCTGTCCTTGACCCCTCTCCGGAGGTCTGTTCCCACTGCCCATGCTGAGCCCCAGGCCCCCGAGGCAAATGTGTCCCGGAGGACAGACACCGGGGCCTGGCACACCCAGCATCTCGGGCTGCTCCCTGGGGCGCCGGGTGCCGAAGGCCACAGGAAGTCAGCCCCGCCCCGGGGCCCCGTTGCCGCAGCCCAGGTGCTATCTGCAGAGCCGGCAGCCGGCCTCCCCTAGGCCTCCGGGGGACTGTCGGGGCCGGTGGTGGCAGGAGGCAGGGCCCCCGCCCTGTGGTCTGCGTGGCTGAGAAACCATCCAGGGGTTTGCTATGGTCTGAGGCCTGAGTTGGGGCCAGGGTCAAGGGCAGTGAAAGCTGGTGGGGAGTCCAGCAGACCCAGCAGTTGGGGGAGTCAGGGAGAGACCAGGTGGGCCAGGAGCACCCCAAAACCAGAGGTGAGCCCCCTCCCGGGCGTGGGGGCCTTCCCAGGCCAAGGCTCCGGCCTCCCGGCAGCAGCTGGCACCACGACCAAGGCCTCGGGCTGCCCCTGTGAGTGATGGTGGGCACAGCGGTTACACCCCCACACCCGCCCTCCTGCAGGCAGGCACCCAGGGCCCCACGCTGGCTGGGTCCCCCGGCTGAGTCCAGACCTCAGTGATGTGGTGACAGCCCACCCGTCCTGAGACAGACCCCTGCCCCGGGGCCTCCCACTTCCAGGTGGGCTTCGGGCCAGGCCAGCCACAGGGTCCAGCTCACAGGCCTGAGGTGAGGGTGACCCGCCCCCACTGCTCCTCCCTGGCACCCCAAGAGCTGCTGTGTCCCCTGTGGGGTGGGTGCCCGTCCCCAGGTGGCACCTGCAGGGCCCAGCCGGGCTGGTGGCAGGAGGCCTGCCTTGGTGGGATCTGCCAGCGAGGGGCAGGGTCAGGCCTGGGGGGGAAGGATCGAGGCAACAAAGGGACTTCAGGCATCACCCCTCAGGAGGCACAGGCTCAGGTGAGGCCGAGACTCACTGAGATGGAGACCTCACTCGGGGGGCCATCCCGGGGGACCCCAGGAGACCCGCGGGCAGCCTCCTGAACAGGCCCCAGGGGTCCTCAGTCCCACTGTGGGGGGATGTGGCACGAAGGGGAGGTGTGAAGGGGACAGAAGGGGTCTCAAGCCCCACACAGCCACATGCACCCACAGGTAGACGCACACGCATGCATACAGACATACGTGCACTCACGGGCACACAGCCATCAGTGGCCCTGGGTTGCCCCCCAAGACAGCAGCACCCTTCAGGCCCACGACCTCCTCGGCAGGTGAGGGACCAGTGTGGCTGCCTCGTCCCGTCTGCCGGGCTCTGGGGAGCAGCAAGGAGTAGGGTGGGCCTGGGCCAGCCTGCCCCACCCCCACTCCTTCAGTCTGGGGCCGGGGTGTCAGGGAGAGAGCAGGGGGTATGGGTGGGAGGCAGGGGCCTCCTCTGATGGGAGCAGGGTCTGCCCAGGACCTGCCCTCTGCCTGCTCACGGTGGCCCTCCCAGTCGCCCAAGCAGTCTCACGGGTGGGGGAGGGGGTGCGCCTGGTGGGGCTGCTGGAGGTGAAGGGGGGAGACCTGGGAAGTGGTCATGGGCTTCCAGGCCCCACCCATGGAGACCTGCCTCGCCCAGGAGGGTGCCCAGAGTGCTGGCCTGGGACTTGGGTGCAGCCTGCCCCTCCCAGAAGCCCCGCTGCTGGGCTGGGCCCTGGCGTCCACGGGCCCTGGCGCGAGGTCTGCGGTGGGTGAGGCTGCTGGCTGGCGCCCCCCCCCCCCCATTTCCTCTTGGCCTGCAGGCTCCCGGCGGCCGCAGGAACAAAGGGTGGATTGTGCCCCGCTCTGGGCCTGCTCCCCGCCCGGCGCTGCCCCTGACGGGCCCCGTGGGCGATGTTTGTGTTTGCAGCCAAGCAAGGCTCCTCTGGCCAACCTGTGAGGCCCCGTGAGCACCAGCCGGGGGCACGGACACCGGCCTGAGCCTGGGGCCTGTCCGGCCAAGCGTCCTGCCTTCTCCCCAGCGCCCCCACGAGCGGCCCCCACGCCCGGAGGCGGGGCCTGCCAGCACCTTCCCCTGTGCCTCACGTCCTGTCGCCAGCCGGGCCCCGCCCCCCGTGTCCTGTCTGTCCATCCAGCCCCGTCCCCAAGCCTCTGGGTGCCCCGTGCTCAGGGTGGCTTTTGCAGGAGGGCAGGATGGAGGCGGAGGGGCCACAGCTCCCCCACCACCTGGCACCACAACCCCACATCCTGGTCCCACCACCCCTTCTCCCACCAACATTTAGTGAGCACCACTGTGTACAGGAATGGGCGCAGAGCCCAGCCCTCCTGAGCCCACGGCCAGAGGACAGACGCCCAAGCCAAGCGCCATCCCATTTCCCAGTGGGCCCAGCGTCCGGTCTGCAGCCCCACACTCGGACCCCAGCCCCCGGACACTTGGACCCTCGGACCCAGACGTGCCCCCAGGCCGGCCAGCGGGCAGCTCGGCTCACGCCCTGGTGACG